AATGAGGTTTTAAACTTTAAAAAAGATCGCCATTTAAGTATTAAAATACAGTTTCATACAGAAAAATTCATTTTTAACACAATTGACACTACAATGCACATGTGTTTCTAATCTCTATAAATCTGATTATTACTAGTCACAGTCAGTTATTTTCTGAGCTCCTTGGTACCTGAGCAAGGATATAAAGTCATCAGGTAGATTTCAATGGTAATGCTTTTCACATCTAATAATTATTATGATGTAAATTTTATGCTTTTTCCTCAAATATAATTCATCTTTTAAAATTTGTTGATTTTTTTTGTGTATCTCACACAGAACATCCCAAACCATCTTATTCATCTATACACCCACTTCCCAGATGGCACCCTCCCATAGCCTACCTCCCTCCACTAGAGCCCTTATACTCTGTCATCCCTGCTACTGTCCACTGTGTTGTTGGCACCTCTAGCATATAAAATTGAATGAGTTTTTACCCTTTAAAGAAGCTCTCCATTTCAAGTTATGCTGTTTCCTACATTTTTTTAATATTATTTAAAAAAAATTTTTTTTTAGAAGAAGCATATCATTACAGCTTTAACATGTCCAATAACAGTTTTCAGAGCAAAAGATAAAAGCTCCTTCAAAAGTGGCTATAAAATTTCTAGGCTCGATGTTGAATCAATACAGTTATACAATATTGAACTCAGTAGAAGCCCTGTAAGTCATAAAATTGAATTTTTAGCCCTCAATAAAGATCTCCATTTCATTCTAAAATATACTGTTTCTTACAGACTCATTGTTTTTGCTACTAACATTGAGATGTTGGCGCATGAGTCTCTAATCTGTATGTATCTGATTATTACTAGTCATAATCAGTTGCACTCGGATCCTTGGCGCCTGTGTATGTCTAGAAAGTCATTGGGTAGATTTGAATGGTAATGTTCATCACTTCTACTAATTAACAATGACGTAAATTTTATGCTTCCTTCTCAAATATAATACATTTTTAAAAATTTGTTGATTTTTTTCTGTGTGTGTATATCACACAGAACATCCCAAACCATCTTATTCAACTATACACCCACTTCCCAGATGTCACCCTCCCATAGCTACTTTCCCCCCTGACTAGAGGCCTTATAATCTTTTATCCCTGCCACTGTCCGCTCTGTTGTCAGCATCCGCAGCTGTTCCCCATTACTTGTCCATCTGGTGAATCTAGTCAGCCTATCTAGAGGTCTTTGTTTTAGGAAGGTCAGCTGTTCCTCATCTAGCAGCAATCAGTTGCCAACATTCCTTTAGATAAGATTGGGGTCTGCTGTTCATTTTTCCAGTTCTATGCTGGGTTACTATCTGGGAGTCCCCTTGGGCCACCCAAGCCAAAAACTCAAAAGAAGGTATCTCCTATCTGGTATTGTTGCTTGATATGTAGCCTTTAGCTATGCATATGGACTCTTAAAACATTATATTGGCCACTTTAATCTTTGGTTATACTTTAGATCGGGGTGTTTAAGAACATACAGTTGGCCCAGATGAAACAATTTATTTTTACTCTTAAGGTCATTTGAGGATCTGTTCCTCAGGGGTAACATGGGCTTGAGAGGAGTCCCTGGCTCCTTTCTTTTACCGTTTCCATCTGTGTGAAGATCAGTCAAAGGTCGTGCTCCACCATGGCTGGCTTTGCTTGGAAGCATGGAGGAAATGTTTCCTCTGTGTTGACCGTCCTCTTTGTAGACTGTACACTGGTTTAGGTCCATCAGGTGGGGTCTCCATGACCTCCTTGCTAAAGAGGACAAGTGACTCACCACAGTTATAGGTCATTTTGAGAGATGCTCATAGTCCCCTGGAACTTATTCGACCTAGAGGGGCAAGGAACAAAAACTGTCCTTTATGTCCCCCTGACCAAATTATATAGGCCTCAAAATATGGCTGTTAAACATCCAAGAAGGTTAGTTCCACCAGTCTGGTACTTTTAATTACTATATGCCATGTAGAATAGAGCTTGGGCAAAGACCAAACACTTTCAGATAAACCTTGCCTAGGCATATATTACATTCTTTGATATGGTTGTATGTATAATTTGTCAGTAGGTTGTGGTCCTAATAAGGTTCCC